TCTATCCATCCTATGTATTATTCTGTGTATGACATTGTTTTGCTACTTGACATTTAACCATGATTATAATCACGAACATTTTAATTGCATTTCATACTACTACTAATATTATTATTTTATGCATTCACACCTATGATTCAATTCCCTCGCTGGATATAACTCCTTAAAAAGGCCATAAGTATATATGATTGTACAGCTTGATAATAAATTCGTTGTTGAAAAGAGTCTCATCGCTGAATCACCACTTGTTTTGACTTTCTATATTAGATATATCGCTCGGTATTATTTACTGGAGGACGAGGTTTCGAACACAACTTGTTGTTCATAATCTCCTCATCAATTATGACCTCACAACTTCGAAACTCTCGTTTTGTAGTTTTCTCCGTTCTTTTCTATTTGTTGTAGGGGTGGTAGGATTTTCCAGATGTCAGGGTGGACAGGTGTTGCATCATTCTTATTACACGTTTCAGTTATCAACCTCTCCCTCCACGCTGATATGTTGCTAACGTAAGCTTTATTTATCAAATCAACTGAAAATACGTGTAACACGAATGATCCAACACCTGTCCACCCTAACATCTGGAAAATTCCACCACGCCTACTACGAATAGAAAAGAACAGAGAGAACTACAAAACGAGAGTTTCAAAGTTGTGAGGTCATAATTCATGAGGACATTATGAACAATAAGTTGTGTGCTAGAAACGTCATCCAGTAAATAATAGTACTGTCTCACTGTGTGACATATCTAATAAACAAATTAATATGGAATTACATACTACTACAGTAGCTGAGATTTACCCATAATATTATTATACTTGTTTAATATGAAATTAACTAAGGAACTCAACATAATTTCCGTTCCATATTCCGCTAATCATCCGAATTCACAAAAAAAGGGAGTAAATGTTTGTAGGATTAACTTGATCCACTATAGTGCCTACTGCCCTGGGCTTTACAGATATGGAGACGCAGTGAAATAGGGTTAAACAAGCTGAGATTATGATGGGAACATTGATGGAACGTAGTTTTCGACAAGTGCTGAAATACACAAGAAACTGGATTTCGCTTTAGCCGGATAATTTAACATCAGGTTGTTCCTTATCTCTGTTAGTCAAAGAAGACAGCTGCCTTGTTATGAATGGTACGCACTAAGACACTCTGCTTAAGCTCATCATCAGCATAAGAGCCTATGGAAAGTGATCCTATGAAGTGACGGCAAGGTTATAAGGTCATAAGGTTAACTAAAAACTACTCATACATATTATGGATTTTGATTTTGTGTGGAAATCTGACCGGCTACCTGAGAAGTAACTGACCTAAGTAGTGCAGATGATAATTCTGATAGAAAATGTAGAGTCTTCTGGAAGTTCTGAGCATGAGATACGCATATGTGAAGCGAGAGATAATCATGTAGGACTGGTTTACACAGGGTGCTGATATAGGTATAGGAAATGAAGTAACTGAATGCAGTGACTCCATTACTGTATAAGTCTCACCACAATTATATACCACTGGTAGCTGACGAAATCTCATCAATTTCCAAACTGCACCTGTTGTGCATCCAGTTGTCAACCAACGACGACATGTAGGTAGTCACTAACTACGATCCTCAGGGTATTAGGAACCAATTTTTATTTGAGAAAGTTCGACTACATAGTATACATTTTTTATTAAGTGTCAGAATACGATTCACGTTTATTCGAGAACGGTTGGTGCTACTTTTCAGGCTCAAGGAGGTGAAGAGAGAGAGACTACAAAAGGAGACCTGTTCACTGGAAGAGAAGTGATAAAGCCAGTCGGGTGGTACGACAATATTGTTCGACATGGCTTCAAATCGTTAACTCTGCTACGGATGCGTTCACCACTTATGATGTTCCGAAATCTGAAAAGCATTACGAAGTTATATCCCCTGAAAATTCCTGTCCATTCTAGTACAAGTATATTCCTTTCCTCTACTTTTACATATAACACTGATGTGCATCAACTTGCACTGATTCACATCTGCAGAATCTCATGTCCACTCACCGTCCACCGTTTAGGCCTCTTAATTAATGGTTGGTTAATCTGCCACCACTAAGTTAAGTCTGTTTAACTCAAAAGACCAATTGACTGAATTTCAGCATAGAACTATGCACAAAAGTGCACTAATTCAAGTCACCACACTCTGTTTAGAACCCAAAGGTAGAGAAAAGAAAGGAGTTCAAAAATACTATAATGAGCAAAACTGTACAACAAAAAGAATGACAAATGATCTTCAAATGACATTAATTTTGTTAAATATGCTGACGATCTGACTGTATCTTTACCTGTCAAATGTCAAAGTGACTGCTCAAAACCAAATGGCTTTTTATCAGAAATCAGCCAGTGGTCCATGGAAAACGATCTTACCTTGAATCCCTCTAAATGTCAAATAGTCAATTTCACCTTTAGGCATAAAGCTGACCTAAACAAACTGGTTAGCACTCACGAGGTATGCAACATAGATGACACTGAAATAGAGACCAAGTCGGAAATTAAATATCTAGGCGTCACTCTATCAGCTGATCTTTCCTGTTCGTCTCACATGTTGATGATTTCTAAGAAAATATTCCGTCTTACCTTCTACATCAAGAAGTTAAGACATTCTGGTATAACCCAACCCTTACTCCTACGATTCATTAACTCTTGTATCCTGCCTATTATTCTTTATTGTTCCCCCCTAGTTTTTCCAGGGATACTGAAGGACTATATCTTATTACGTAGGGTGTTAAAGGTTGTCAGCAGGGTAAGTAAGCAATGTGCCACTTAACCAACTTGTTATTATTCTGGTCGATAGGCACTTGGACTCATGCGAAAAATGGGCTAAATCCATTCTACCTAACTCACACCACCCTCTTCATTCACAACTCTCCCCTTGTATCTCATCAGGCACGACCAGAAGCCTATATAGAAAACTATATGCTCGCAGTAGCAAGTACAAGAACTCAACCACGCCCTACTTGGCTCGTGTTCTGTGTGATAAAGAAAGCATTAGGCGTGAAACATAACTTATTAAATAGTCAGTAGAACAATTGGATCTCGTCTTTCCAACTCATATCATTTATAGGTACAACGTTTTCTTTCTTTTCCTTTACTCTTTTTTTGTTTTTTTCTCTTTCTTACAAAACTCACTTGAAACATTCTTCTTCGTTCTTTCACACTCTGTATATCTCGACCTTTTGTTACCGCTTACGCCAGTAAATATGCTAGTATCTACATTTCTAACACCTTCAAACACTGTTCACTTTTGGCTTTGCTACCGACATGCTAATATGTTGTTGTCATAATTAACTGAGACTACCCATAATCTATGTAGAATTTTATTTATTGTTAATGCACAAACTGGATGCAATACTGTAGTGAAGTGCTGAGAATTCCATTCTGTATCAGAAGTACTGTTTTGGAATAAAGTATATTATTATTATTAATGGTAACATCGAAAAACATGAGGATTTCACGCATCTCGAGGATTACAAGGAGTTACTACATCTGCGCCATCGATATCGACTTTGAGTCATGTCATCAACAGTTTCCACTCATTGGTACTTGGCATCCCAACCTGGTAATCTACACTTCCCTACAAGTCTGGTTTAAATCAACGTAGCTAGCTCAAACCAGCTGTCAAATACTTTATGAACTTATGTTAGGCTTTGAAATGACCACTCCTCATTCTTTCCCAGACTAATCCTATATCAGTTGAAATTGCTCGTCGGGGGAAGGTGGTGGCCCGTCGTGCGTGACGTATCCCAGACATGTCAATCAAGGTAGCTCAGTAACCTCACAGATTGACTTCCCCCCTTCTCACCTAACACTACGCCTAACCCCAAAATTACTCACCACATTACACCCTCTAACACAGCAAACAGGACATTAAAAAATGGCTAACCTTTTAAGTTTTTCAATTCTCAATGGCCATGTCTTACAGTCATAACAAAAAGAGAATTTATTCGGTCAAGAACTCATTTCACACAACCAATTTTTGCCATCATAAGCTACACTGAGGAACACAATACACACTAGAAAATTTCGAATTAAGGGACACAAGATGAAAATTATCTGGACCCATTGGTTTTCCTGGATTTAGGGAAATCAGCGTGAATAATTTATCATACGAGGAAAGACTAGATAGTTTAAATCTCTTCTCCCTATCATACATACCGTAGGCAGAGAGAAGATTTAATCACAATGTTTAAAATTTTAAATAATGACTACGGACTTGCCCTATTCTTTCTTTTTTCCCCACCAGTCGGAACACCTTAGAGGACATAGCAGGAGAGTTCAAAAGCCAAGAAGAAATCATATTGCTGTTGAGTACTGGTTCTCACACCGAGTCATAAACTCTTGGAACCGACTCCCAGAAGAAGTGGTGTCTGCAACCTCAACTGATTCATTCAAGAATGGTTTAGACAAGCACAGAAATTTACTAGAAAAGTACTAACATAGGCTCCAAGCGTTTTATCCTCAACCAATAAATATGAAATCTGAATATGCCATAAGTGTTGCATGTACCAGGTTAAACGCTCTTGAGAGAAAAAGCTTGAGACTGAATCAATTTTATTTTCATGAAATATTATATCTCAACACTTTCTCCAACATACTGGTGAAATATTGTCCAAATTATTCTTCGTAACATTAATTACACTTGGAATTCTTGACCACTACTTTGCAGTTTGACGACAATATTGAGTCGTGGGGAAAGGTGTAACTAAATACACCTAACCCTCCTCCAGTTTTGGGATTAACACAGATTATAATTACAATCGTATTTACAGAACTCCTAGATTCCAGTTATGTGAAATTCTCTTGTTTTTTAGAAACTATACGATTAAACCTCCGAATCAAGATCTTCTTTAGCAAGAGTACGTATGACGCCATCATCGTGGTACATCTCCGCATACTCCTTTCCGACTGTCTTGATGTTTTTTTAAAAGATCTGGGCTGGTGAAAAAGTGTGAAAATGTATATTTTTTAATCCACTTACCAGCGAAGTGTTCCCCGGCATTTTCAGGCTGTTTAGTTAATATATCCCTGCAAAATGTAAAAAATATTTATATTCCATACCTCAAAAATGCTGTCACCATATACTTCACTTCCGGATGTTGCCGGAAATACTGTTCATTACTTAACCGTGTTTGAGTCTAACAAGTTAGAAAGTTTATCTGTGTAAACCTTGAGTTTATTTGTCGCCCCTTGTTGAGCATTACTGAGAGCACCAAGATCCCCATCTCTTCCGAGATCGTACGGTTCCATTGAGGCTGGTGGATCATGTTTAGGAGGGGCAGATCCCAAACCGAACATGACCTTCAGAGCCGAATTACCCGGTGCCTCCAATATCCAATATCCTGATTACGAGCTAGTATAAACCAGTGATTTCTTTGAGCTCGCTTCTTGATTTTAAGGTAGAGGTTCCAGATCTTCGGTGAACTTATGCGTAGTAAATCCCGCCACTCGACTGCTTTAGCTCTGGTAGACTCCAGGAGGAGTGATGCGAGGATTGGTCAAGATTGTGGTTTGTAGTGTGCAGTATGTTAGGACTCAGCTGCTGCCGTGAATGGAGTTTGACCTAACACCCGTTGGTCATTCGGTATAGTCATAAAAGTAGAGTAATAATAATAATGATAATGATAATAATAGGTTGTAGTGTAGATAATATAGGTTGAGATAAGTGAAATAATAAAGAAAGAAAGAAAAGATAGAGTAGTCGGTACAGTGGGAGAAGACAGGACGGGTCGTGGGGATTTAGCTTGTATGCTTATCCATTGACAATGTGGTTTCAAATTTTAAGAGGGTAAGCCATTGAGACACAAACCATGCATTTCTGCATGATTGTCCAGCTTCCGCTTAAAAATCTCCACAGATGGAGCTGTAGTTACGGCCGCCGGTAAAGCGTTCCAGAGACGGCAAACTCGAAGCGAGAAGAAATGTGAACGCACTCGAGTCCTTGGCCTCTGGTGTGCTATCCTTAGCGGGTTACCTCGTGGAAGCCTATAATCACTTAATGGCAGGATGCTCTTATCAGGATGGGCCTGGTCATTTAGGATCTTATAGACGGTGATGAGGTCTCCCCTGTGACTACGGTAACTAAGTGTGAAAAGACTTAATTTCTTCAGTCTCTCCTCATATGATTTGTTGTGGAGGCCGATCACCCATTTTGTCGCTCGTCTCTGGACACTTTCTAGCATGTTAGCATCCCTTTTGAGTAGCGGAGGAGCAATGATATTATGCACCTCAAGGAGTGGCCTCACGTATGTCGTATACAACGTTAGGAATAGTTCAGGAGTAAGAGCTCCCAGTTGCCTATGCATAAAGTGTAAAGTGCCGTAAGCTTTGGCGACGTCCCTCGTGTAATTTACACTGGTGTCTAGCTTTTCTGTTAAAATAAGGCCTAGATCGCGTTCTGATGGCACACAACTCAAGTTCTGGCCACCAAGGGTGTAATTTGCACTCTGTGACCTGCCGGAATGAAGTTGCACTACTTTGCACTTCTTTAAGTTGAAAGGCATTCCGTTAGCCAGAGCCCAGTCCCCCAGCGTTTGCAGGTCAGCCTGCAATCTGTCGGAGTCTTCCGATGAGTTTATTGCTCTCCAAATCTTTACGTCGTCAGCGTAAAGAAGCGCAGAGCAATTCAGTTGACAGGGCAGGTCATTGATAAAAATCAAAAACATCAACGGCCCTAAGATAGAACCCTGAGGAACCCCTGATGCCGAGGTGTGCCAGGATGATCGGATGCGGTTGACTTTGGTGCAGAATTCTCTCTCGCCTAAATAATCTTCCAGCCATGCGAGAAGTGCTCCAGAAACACCCGCTTTGCTTATTTTGTGAAGGAGCAGACCATGGTGAACTGTGTCGAATGCTTTCGCAAAGTCGAGAAAGATCACATGGACTGGTACCTTTCATCCCAGGATAGTGTCCAATCGTTCCAAGCTAGTAGAAGATTCGTCACACAGGATCTTCCCTTCCTGAAACCATGCTGTGCTTCATGGAGTAGGTTAGTCCCGTCGAAGTATTTTCTCATGTGGTCGTCAATGAGACTTTCCAATATCTTCGATATCACTGGGAGTAGCGCAACTGGTCTGTAACTGGTCGCGTTCTGCCGGTCACCACCCTTGAAGATAGGGGATAGGATGGCTCGTTTCCATTCACATGGAAGTTTCCCTACATCAAAGGAGTGTTGAAACAGATCACTTAGGGGTTGGCAGAGACTTTCTGAACACTGCTTCAGGACGGATGGTCTTATGTCGTCGCAACCTGCAGACTTTCCCGAAGCCAACTTTCCCAATTTTATGAGTACCATAGCCGGGGTAATTTGAAATGTACCCAGCAGGTTTTCGCACGTTGGTCTTGCATTGTAATCTTGATGTTTTGTGAGGGTAAAATCCTCGTTACTGTTCAGTTGCCTGTGAAAGGCTAGACTGAATGTCTCTGCCATTTCAAGACTGGTAAGAGATTTCCCATCAGAACCCACTATATTGCAAGCTCCCTGGTTGGTCGGTTTTCTTTCAGACATAAACCTGTATAGGCTTTTGGGGTTCACGAGAAGCTTATTGGCGAGGTTTCTCTGAAATGTCCTTCTATCACTCCGGACTCGTATGTTACACCGATTCCTGAGTTCGAGGTACTCTTCATGTTCGGGTTGACTCTGCGATACTCGCCACGCAAACCAGGCTTTTCGCTTCGCCTGTAGAAGGCGTTGTGTCCCCCTTTTTAGCCATGAACGTTGCTTTCTAGCTTTAGGTGTGACCAAAGGAACAGTGTCTGAGATCGCCTGGTGAATGATCTCCTTTACCACTCTCCAGTGTTCTTCTACTGTAAGCTCTGTCCAATTTTTTGGCCAATTTGCTTCAGACAAAAGTCTTCGCATTTCGGTGTAATTGGCTTTGTTATAACACAGATAGGGCTGTGTATTGTCCCACTGTAAACGCTCGCGGAGGACTATGTCGAATGTTATGACCGCATGGTCACTACTACCTATGGGAGTCGTGATCTGAACGTTTTCCACTAGTAGCTGGTCACTAGTGAGCACGTAATCCAGTCTAGAAGACTTCCCATCTGGGCCCCATCTAGTATCCATTCTGACATTTTCGGTGAATCCGGCCTCCGTGATGGTATGCAGCAGATTTCGATCAAATCTGTCCTGGGCACATCCCGTCATCAAGTTAAGAGATGGGGCATTGAAGTCTCCAGCTATGACAATTTGATCATAACCCATGTCATGTGTCGCTGAAATTGCATTCAGCAGTACCTGGTTGTGGTCTGCTCCACATGAAGGTGATCTGTAAATGCTGCCCACTAGATACTTACAGTACCCAACGGCGAAATGGCACCATATGGAGTCAGGGAGCTCAATGAGGGGAGGGTCGATTGCATGGACACATCTGAGCTGTTTGTCGACGTATATGGCGACTCCACCTCCTTCTTTCAGATCCCTATCTCGCCTGACAAGGACCATATCATTTATACTGACTTCGCTGTCTGCCACCGTAGGGGTTAGCCAGGTTTCCGTCAGTATTATGATTTTGGAGTTCAGCTGTGATTGTAGGTATCTAAGTTCAGCTATTTTGCCTCTTAGACCTCTCACATTACTGTACAGGCAACTGGTAGTCAGTCTCACCACGTCCCCGTATTGGGGGGTGGTTGACGTGATGTGGGCTGTCGGTTGAGGAGTTATCCTACGAACTAGTTGGCCGATGCCCCGGGAACCGGCCTGTTGGAGTTTTTTTCTTCTGATTCAATCGGAGCACTTGGATGGCACTGGCTATCATCGTCCGTGCTGCACCGCTGTATTGTGACTAGGGGTTGGGGATGTTCTATGACAACGTTTTGCTCTCTCCTTTGGGTACGAGGCCGGCTCTCGCAGCAGCGAATGTGTCTGCTGACCTTGTCTTTGGTCTCGTATATGGTTGTATATGGTGGCACTATAGCTTAAGCAACATGAATGGAACTGAAGCTTACTTCATACTTTCACTGGGCATCATTGTTAGGTGAAGATAGTAGCAATCGAATGACAATGAGAAAAAAGTCACATCACAAGACAAGGCACGGCGATACAAGCTGACATCCAATATCGTTTTACGAGGTAGTATAAACCAATTTGATCTCTTTGTGCTCGCCTCTTGATTGTGAGGTAGAGGTTCCTGATCTTCGGTAAACTTCTGCGTAGCTCGTCCCACCACTCGACTGCCGTAGCTTCGGTTGACTCCAAAAGGAGTAGTGCAGGGTTTAATTATATGTGGTTTGTAGTATGAGGTGTGTTAAGACTGTTACTACTGTGAATGGAGTTGATCCTTTCACCAGTTGGTCCTTCGGTATCGTCGTCAATAGAAAAGAGATAATAATAATAGATATAATTGGTGAAGGCATTCAGACTAATAGACAGAAAAAGAATAAGAAAACGTAACAACAGTCAGTCAACCGGTATACATATATATATATATACCGGCAATAATGATAATCATAATAATAGGTGCACTTAAAGCTGTCAGGAGAGTAAGACTGAAGATAATGTAAAGAAGTAAAACGACCAGTTTAATTGTCTACCCTTGAATGGTGTATGCGATTTTAAGGGGATAGGCCATTTGGGTGCAGTCCTTGTGTCGCTGCATGGTTGTCCAGCCTTCGCTTAAAGGCGTCCACAGATGGTGCCATAGCTACATCTGCCGGTAAGGAATTCCAGAGACGGCAAACCCGCAGGGAAAAGAAGTGGGAGCGCATCCGGGTCCTTGCCCTCTGATGAGCTATCCTTCTAGGGTTTCCACGAGGGAGCCTATACCTACTCAATGGTAGAACACCTTTGTTTGGGTGATTCTGATCATTTGTTATTTTGTAGGCAGTAATTAAATCCCCCCTAAGGCGACGGTAACTGAGTGTGAATAGGCCTAATTTCTCCAGCCCTTCATCATATGGTTTATTTCGGAGACCAACCACTCCTTTTGTTGCCCGTCGTTGGACTCTTTCCAAGAGGTTGGCGTCTCTTCTAAGCAGTGGGGGTGCAATGATATTATGCACTTCAAGATGCGGTCTGACGTATGTTTTATACAACCTTAGAAAGAGTTCAGGAGTGAGTGCACCTAATTGTCTATGTGTAAAGTGTATGACTGCATATGCCCTCGCTACATCCCCCGTGTAATTTACGCTTGTGTCCATTTTCTCCGTTAGAACTAGACTTAAGTCACGTTCCGACGTTGAGCAGAACAAGCTTTCATTGCACAGGGTGTAACTTGCATTCTGCAGTCTACAGGTGCGTAACTTCACTACTTTGCACTTTTTCAGGTTGAAAGTCATGCCACTGGCCACCGCCTAGTCTTCCAGAAGCCTTAGATCTGCTT